AATATTGTGTTTATTGCCTTTGAGGCTTTGGATTGGAATGGGAATATTTCTCAAATGGTACAAACCCGTCAGTCTGATTTGTGAAGCTGCAAAACTCCTTCCATTCCAGAACTAATTATCTTTCCCTCCCTTGCCCCAATTTATGTAACCTTTCAATACAACAATTTAAAGACAGGTTTGAACCCTTAAACGAATTCTATAAATAGTTCAGATAAATAAAGGAATGAATTTAATCAGGTCTGCACTACAATAAAGGCATGGTGATTTTCAGTCACTGTCATTTAGGCAGGATGCATAAGATTTTAAGAAACATCTAAAATGGGCCAGCTCTTGAAAACAGGTTTAAAAATTTCATCCGATCCATAATGTGGCAGGTGGCTGCTTGGGGGGCAGGTATTGAAGGAGAGTCTCTAGGTAACCTTTATTTTATGTAGAGAATCTAAAAGTGCAGGGTTTGACCTTTGAAGCTGTGATTCTATGCCCATTTACTCGTAGAGCCATATCCACCGTTTATACAGAATAAGGTAGTTGAATTCTGGAGTATTCCACTTCAGACCACAGATACAGAGCTGAACTTTTAAAAATGAAACCTCGCTGCATGTAGAAAATTAGGAGGCAGGGCTTTGTCTAGGTGTCTCCTTGGTGTGCTGGTCAAGGCAAGAGGCATTTTACAGAGGGAAGAAGCATTCAGAAATGTGACCTTCACTTGCAGACTGAGATGGTGTGGTTCAAAATTCTCCAGCCTCAGCTTCTCATCATTAAATTTATAAACAGGTCTGCCTTCTAAATAGACATGAATAGAACAATGAGCAAAGTCTGACACTTTTAAATTCACCTGATATCAGGGGCAGAGCTGAGAAGCACATCCCCCACGTAAGTCTCTCAGTAAAAAAACAATAGAAAGTAAAAGTGGTTGCCTGAGTTTCAGATCATGTGAGGCAGGCTTTTGACATGCTTATCCCTTGTTGGAAAAGGAACTTTATATGCAAACTGGTTTTGCCTGCGTAGTTCACCCCAAATCCCCACCCAGATGCTCCGGCTGCACTCATATTTCCCCAAGCAGAAAACCAGCAGTCATTTGCCTAGCTGTGGATTGTGCCCCACTTCTCCACCAGCCAGCTGATCAGCACAATTGCCAATTGTCTGACAAGGCTCCATGTTGCCCTGGGCTCCCTTGGGAGGAAGGGTGGGAGATGAATTTCATGAATGAATAAATGCATTAAATACATGTGTGCATCCCAGGCTGTGGAGGGCACACACAATTGGGCCAGCACAACTTCCTCTGGATTTATTTTGGCAGAAGCTTTTGTGGACTAGAGCCCACCTCACCAGATGCTGAGCTGCAGCCCATGAAAGCTTCTTCCTTAATACACCTGAGACTCCTTGTGTATGTTGCTTCACAAGATAACCAGATTACTCTGTTGGGGTTTTGCCCACTGAGTCCATTGTCAGGGCAGTAGGTCTTCCAGCAGAAACATCATGGCTTGAAATGCCTTCTATTAGCTGCACGCCAGCTGCAATCATATCTGTCTGCCCCACAGTGGCAGGAAGACACTAGGGAGAGGCCCTTTCCGTGGTGCCATCCTGGCCATTGCATAGCCCCCTCCCCCATGAGGCTCTCCTCCATGGACTTTTCAGCAAAGACCTTATTTACCCAGCACTTTTACACAACTTCTTTCTCAGAGTTTCCACTGGGTTCCCGGTTCATGTCCTGCCAATGGAAGCCCTGCCCAAGGACTTCTGCTAGTGCAATGGAGCTCTCCCCTCTCCTTCTCCATGTCCCACCCAAATTGGCTCACGGGGTCAGGAGAAACCCACAAAAAGTGCACAGGGAGGAGAGGGGAAATCTTTACACCTGGCAGGCTGAAATGCTTGTGCAGACCGAACATGCCACCCATTGTGTTTTATTCTATAATCCAAGCTGCTGGCTTCTTTTATTTCCCCCTTCACCAGAAAGTGAAGTTCTTCTGCTGCATTTTATTGTCTTTGTATTTTCAACTGTTGTATTTTTGGACTTGAGTGTCGCCTCTCATTCCAGTCCAGAGAGCATATGTTGATGGACAAATTAAGGGTGGTCTTTTATTAACCTGCTCCCTCAGAGCAAAGATTTCTAGTTGTGCAAAGGGACCTTCCCTTGTCTCCCCCCTCCCTGCACATGCACCCCAAACCACCAGTTCTTCTCCAGCGGGTTGGGGAACAACCAGAACAGATTTCGGGGCTGCACAGCAGGAGGAGAAGGGAAGAACATTCAGCTATGCAAGCAGAAATCCTTGAGCTGAGAGAATGATTCCACCCTCAGTAGGAAACAGTACAATCCAAGCCCTGGCCTTGCAGTGGTGGGGCATGGCGGACTGGTGGAGAAATTACTACGCCTGCAGCCCCATCACTCATGTCGGCCTGGTCAGAAGGTAAGTGGGCAGGCAAATAGCTGACCCATCCTGGAGTTGGCGGATCAATAGGACCCAAATGAAGACTGATGTTGCCAAGTGATGGCAGTGAGGCTGGCTCAGTCATTCCCAACCATGTCCCACTTCAGAGATTTTTGTAGTTGGACCCACACATTCAGCAGGTGGAATGAGAAGCCCAAGAAGTGATGATGGCTGATGGAAGTTTGCAGGGAGCCAATCCACACACCCCAGACTGACACAAAGCAGGTTTGCAGACTAAAGAAGCAAATAAGAAAGATGGAAGGAGTTTCACAAATGCTCAAGAACTGGGTGATGCATGTAGTGTTCTAGTTTTAAAGCCCAGTGTAGGAGGAATCTGAAACCACTGAAAATAAAGATCTCAGGCCCATTAGAATTAAATGGAAAGATTTGCAGTCTTCAAACTATGTGGGGGCAACTTCTGGCTCGTGGAGCTTAATAAATGGCACAACTCTATTATATATTATTTATTTTATTGAAATATTTATAATCTCCTGTGTGAGTTTGTGTCTCCTAATATTTTTAGGTGCACGAGTGTGGAGCTTTGGCTACATGCATAAGGTCTCACCTTTGCATCTTAACACAAATGTAACAATTCCTACCTCTTAACTGAAAGGTCTCTCTCTCTCTTTTTAACATGCTTTAACCACTCTGATTGTACTACGCCTGATTCATACATCCCAGCACTGATGTAGTATTGTGATATAGTACGTATTGCCAGAGTACATTGCAATACTGGAGCCACCAGCTGCACATGTCTTTCTGAAATGCTGTCCTGCTGAGAGGGAAGATGGTGTTTGAGTGGGAAGGACCAAGATGACTGACTCCACTTTGAGGCTTCATATCTAGATGCAGACCTCAGTGCTGTGAAATTGTGCACCAGAGGAACCCGCTTTCCCCCAGCCGTAAGAAGGGGCGTGTTAAAAACACACTCTAGAGTGTTAACTAGGTAATTAATTCACATTCAGTTATTTTCATACACACTCTAAGGGGCAAATAATGATATAGTTCACAAATGCTTATACACCTCTTGATGTATCTTTTAGCCATTGCATGCTTGCTGCCTTGCAGCTTAACTCACTCCTTTCTGGTGCTCTATCTGTGAAGGCTCTTTTACACAACAACTACTACCAAACATGAACATATACGTGAGAACTGATTATAAGTGTTTCCTGTTCCCAATGCCCAATGGACCTTCAAAAGTGGCCAAGAAATTTAGGAGCCTGAACACAATGGACCTATGGTGTTTCCCCATCCTCTGAGAACACAGCATTACTGTGAGTGCGTAGGTAACAGAGGACAGAATCCAGCAGAATAGAATCACAGAATTGTAGAGCTGGAAGGGACCCTGGAGTCTCATCTAGTCCAACCCCCGGCAATGCAGGAATCTCAACTGAAGTATCCATGACAGATGGCCATCCAATTTCTGTTTAAAAGTCATTCCACTATCGAACAGCTCTTACTGTCATAAAGTTATTCCTGTTGTTTAGTTGGAACATACCCAACTCGCTCATCCGTTCCTCATAAGGCTTGGTTTCCAGACCCTTGATCGTCTTAGTTGCCCTCCTCTGTACACGCTCCAGCTTGTCAATGTCCTTCTTAAATTGTGCACCCAGAACTGGACACAGTATTCCAGGTGTGGCTTGATCAAGGCAGAATAGAGTGGTACTATTACTTCCGTTGATCAAGACACTAGACTTCTGTTGATAGTATTAGCTTTTTTTGCTGCTGTATCACACATGTTAAGCTTGTGGTCCATCAAGACCCCTAGATCCTTTTTACATGTACTATGGGCAAGCCAGGTGTTCTCCAGCTTATATTTGTGCAGATTTATGTCAAATCTATTTCAGGCGTAGTGACTTAAGCATGTGCCGAACTTCTCTTGTTGCAGTAGATGGGGCTTTTTTAATAGTGATTTATTCCCTTGCTTTGTGTTTTACAGAAATTTCCTTTAAAACACATGCAGCATACCCTGTAAAATTAAAATACGAGATACCTTTCACTCTCCTGAAGTACAATAAATTATGTGCAAAATTAACCTGGTATTTCCTTGGTTACTTATTAATCATAGTTCATTTAACAGAATCAATATTTCTGGGGAAGAAGTAAACACTTACCACACAGCCCCCATTTTCCTTTACCATTACAACCTGGTTTTTTTTAAAAAAAGGGTGGGGGGGAAGCATCTGCCTGGAAACCAAAGGAGAATTAGGAACCGTGCCTGTTATCTTGGGGATATGCAAAGCACATTTTATTTCGCCTTTTATCTCTCCAATTGTATGTTGATCCCATACATATAGATTGATTTTGCACAGGTAGATAATGAAAAGTCAAGGGGGAAAATTTACACAACGGCACTCAGGATCTCAGCTCTCTATTGGTATATAAATTGGTTTATTATTTCATTCTCTTAAAGAGGGCCATTCGCACAGGGGAGCACTTTAAAATATAGCATGTTTAAACATAAATTGATTTACCATTCATACGCCTTTTTTCCCTTTGTAATTTCCACACCATTTTGGGAAGTTAATTTTCAAAGATATTTACATGTAAACATGCTCTTGTTTATTCCTAGCTCTCTCATCCATCACCTTCTTGCTATAGTCAAGGCTCTAATGTGAAATATCTGATAGGATGACAACGGCAGCTGCAAGCCCAGAACACGTAAGTGTTTCTCTCTCCATTTGATGATACCTTGCGAGCCTCACTGTAATTCACCATAAGTGCTTTGCTTTTAGCCAGCGTAACCTATAGTTGGGGAGGCAATTCCAGTGGAGAGGGAGGGCCTGTGTGCTTGGAGCAAAAACAACAACAGAAACCCCAAACAGAAATGAAAGGAAACATTATTAAAAAACATTTTCTGGACATTTGGTAGCGCACATTTTGGCTGCTGCAGCTTAAAGCAATTAATTCAGGATACTGACATTAACTCTCTAGCTCATTGACAGCTTGGAGCTGGGACTAAAAATGCTAGTTCTCCAGGGAAAAGAGGCGGCTAGTTGGCTCTTTTTCTGGACTGTTTGCTTATAGGCCCAGAGAGCAATCTTCCTTGCAGAATGAAATGCAAGGACACAAACAATGTCCCAGGGAGAGAATGGGAGATGGGAGTGAACAGTTTGAACTATTTGCTCAGCAGAAGGGCAGCCACAATTGCCGGCCAATGGCTTTCCCATGCATCAGCCGGGGCTTCTTAGCCTCTTTTGTTGTTCTTCTACTTCCTTCGGCCAGATAAGAACACAGCTGCAGAGAGTCCAGCTAACTTTGGGCCTGGCTTTATTCACAAAAGTCTCCATTCATGTTTACTGTATTTATTTGCTGCATAAGTTCCTGTCCTGTTTTTTTTGAAATGTAGGTTTCATTTTCCCACTCCGAAATGAGAACTATATTCTGTAAAAGAAAATAAAATAAAATTGCAGCTTCTTGTCGTATTTGTGCTACTTCCCATTTCCTTTGCTTTCTTAGAGAGATGGAAAGAGTCTCAGAGAGGTTTTAACCAGATCCCCCACTAAAATTGCTTAGTGTTCCAGCCAAAATTAAACAATATCAATTTTGTCGATTTTGAGTGAGTAGTACACAGTCTCCGCCATTTACAGTGTTTACCTGGGGCTGGATCAGGCCGCATTCTGCAGAACATTTCATGAAATGTGCATAAGACTGCAGGTTTAAGTCCTCAAAATTCCGGTTAATTTTTCTTTGTTTAGTGCTAAAAAAATGTCTGTAGGATGGAAAACACTTTCAATGCCAGTCTACCATACTGAATAGGAATGCAATGGGTTTTCAGCAGTGCCCTATTTCGTGCTTCATTGAAAAAGCGAAGAGATTTCAGAGGTGGTTATATGGCAATCAGATAAAATTCTCTTGAGGAATAATCATCATATGTGGTGTGAAACATGAAGCGTAGGGTGTCAAATGGACCCCCCTCCTGCTCAGTAATTGCCCGCACATAAAAGACACCCACACGATAGCTTATATATGCACACAGACATTTATAGATCCCTCACATATAATGCTTCCACATATGCAAAATAACTTATCACAGATACATATACACGAGGACACAGGGTTATATAAAAAACACAGGGTTCTCATATAGAAAACTGAATTGATTTTGGGGTATTAAAAATGTAAATGTCCCAAGTACGCATACAGTGCCACCTGTTTGTGAATGAATGGTATGTGTGCATTTACATATTTTTCCTACGTTAAAAGATTTATATGCTGTTTTTCATGAAAAATGCCACTGCAGTGTGATACGGGCACATTCTTCCACAATAATGCAGAACCAAAAGTAATGAAAGTATCTGTACACCACCCACAATTGGGGAAACCCAACCATTTACATTTATGTAAATGGTTACGTGTGAGTATTATGATAGTTGTTACCATATTTTGCTATTTTCTTTCTAGTATTTTCTTAACCACAGTTTAAAATATAACATGTGAACTGTTTGCACTAGCGGACTTGTGCAAGTGGTCTGACTTCTGTGTTAGCTTTTTATATTTGGTCCAGAACTTCCAGTTCACTGAGTATCTGATTTCTGGTCAGATCTGCATGGAGTGCTTAAATACTAAAGCTACTAATGATCTGTTATGTGGAATGAAAACCAGGGAAATTGCCTTTCATGTAAACCAACATAAGCATTTGTGCTGATTTTTGTATAGGTTTCCATGTCTTGACTTCTGTACTTCTATAGTATCACCAATGTACAGTGCTTTACAGCATAACATCAGTGAAAAGCATAGGGCTCTTCTTCCTCCAAATTTAAATCCCAGATAGCTTGTTAGAAGATTAATTAAACTTGAATGAGTGTAAAATGAGGTAGAAAGTCATTTTTTAAAAGCAACACGAGAGAGTGATTTACTGTGAACAAATTGAACATTCTCAGTCAATGTGTAACCTCACAGGAAACACAATGTTTGCACACCACTTTTTCCAGTGTGAAACCTCTGAAACTGCAGGGATTTTTCCTCTACTGGGTGGTCAGGAGGCAAGGCTGAAAGGCAAAAGAACTCCTATTGTCCTCTGCTGTGTCTTAACAGCTGACCTCACGTGTCTCTAAAAAGAAGAAAGCACCTGTTTATCTCCAGTTATCCCCTGCTTCTATGAGCACCAAGCTACCCCCACAGAGAGAGGGTCCTTGGCTGGCGGGGGCGGGGGGAGTATCTCTAAAAGTGCTTTGAAAACCCCCACATCAGCCCTGATCCAGACAGAGTCATACACTGATCAAGACATTGTTTCAGGATGCTCACTTCCAATATGGCTGGAAATCTTTGCCCACTCTGTCTCTGTCACCACATCCTGAGTAGTCCTGAAGACACCTCCAGTCTGAGCAGGGGGTTCTCATTCATCAAGGGGATCCACATGTAGAAACCTGTTAGTCAGGTCCTTTGCTTCTCTCATTAAAGGACAGAATTTCACATTATGCAAAACATGAGGCTGCTATGGCGGGGGGATTTCAATGTGATTTCTCTCCCTCCTAATATAGCAGATCATTCATGTGATGTCACTGCAAGGTACCATTTTCCCCTCCCCCTCCACATCATAACTGCTGCTGGTGGGGACCGGGGATACCTGAAATGATAACAAAACCTTAACATGTGCCGCTTATCTGGGAAAGGAGGAGAGCATTTAATTAACCAGACATAATGATTGCTGGATGTTCTTTATAGGTAGTTACTTATGATGCTAATTTCCAAAACAGGAGGCAATGAGAGACTGCTGAGTCCCTAATGATTGAATTAAAGGAGCAAATACAGTTATGCAGCGTTTAAATTAGGGGTGACACTTATGTCAAGTGTATGTTTAATAAATATGATCAGGATAGGGTTTTAATCAGGATTTCCACTCGGGTTAAACTAGATAAAACCCATATAAGCTCTAAAAGGATTGGAGAGCGGGCCTGGAAGAAACCTTCCTAATAGAAAGGACATCAACAGGTTTGGCAGGAAACTCGCATCGCCCCCCTCACTTCCTGAAGATACAAAGCAGCCTCACCCTGCATAGTCAACATGCCAGACTGGCCTCTGGAATGCTGGCTTCAGCTCCATGCTAGCATAGGCAGGACTGGGCACAGAATCTATGGCTATCCACACCGCACCTTTAAAGTATGTAGCTTCGCCCAAAGAATAATGGGAACTGTAGTTTGTCAAGGGTGCTGCAGCGCTGTGGAGGGGAGCAAGCAGCAGTGCACAGGATTCTTGGGGGGAAGCCATGGGCTTTAAACTATGGTGTGGATGTTTTATATGCATTTAATTTTACAATATCTGTATACCACACAATCGATATCATTCAATAATAAGATCAGAGTTAAATGTGGGTAATGACAGAGATTGACAAATCCCATGAAACATATCCTGACACGGGAGAAGTATTAATATCCTGCTAATCCAGGAGGATTCTTGCAGCAAGGGAGATGAGCAGCCTCTTTAACAACCTTCTTCAGATTACCAGGTGCTGTTAATGACAAAAACCATACTCAGGCTGTATCAACTGCAATGCTCCTAGCTCCCTTCCCTTAATGGTAAAGGGGTATTAGAAGCTTAGAGAATGAAATATACTCAGAGTCGCAAAGTGATTTCATGCTCTTTATTCAGCTCATAGTGGTGAGGAGGAATGAATGAATGTCCCCTCAAAGTATCTGCTTTATATACATTATTTACACAATGGGCTGCACATGATTGGTTAATTCTGGAATTCTACTGTAAGCCAATCAGGTTGTGGATTCACTTATATCTGGAGCATGATTGGGTGGTTCCTGCCAACCAATCATACTGCTGCATTGTTCTTGGACCAATCAGACTGCTGCATTCTGAATCCTATTGTTCTAGGACCAATCAGACTGCTGCAATTTGGATCCTATTGTTCTAGGACTGCTGCAGTTTGGATCCTATTCAACTCAGTACATAACACCCCTCCCCTCTAAGTTCCAGTCCTGCCCGGGAGGTCGCATTCATAGTCCTCGAGGTACGCCGGCGGCCTACGTGTGCGTTGCGGCCTGTGGTGTTCAGGTTCTGGCTCGTGTTCCAAGGATGCTGGCTGTGATGGGCCTGTTTGGTCTGGCGCAACCGGCTCGCTCAGTCGTGGTTCTGGTTCCGGTGTCCTTTCGGCCTCGCGGGTCCTCTCTGTATTTACTGATTCTGCCTCTCCTGCTGGCCCCTCCTGCTCTATGGGCCTCACTGCCCCTCTGTTCCCTTGGGACTCCTCAGACCTTTCCTCCTCCTGGTTTTCTCCTGGGAATCGTCGCCGTATCTGGTCGCAGTGGCGGCGCCAGCATTGCCCCCATCCGTTAGCACCTCGTACGACACGGGGCCAGTGACCCTGGTGACTGTGGCGGGTACCCATGCTGGGCCTGCCCCAAAATTCTTTGCGTACACTGGGTCCTGGGCCTCGAAGGTCCGGGGGTCCTGCCTTCCCCCACCACTACCTCATCCTGAGCTCTATCGGGGTGAAGGCGGTCCAATCTGATTGCAAGGCGCCGACCCATTAGTAGTTCAGCGGGGCTCCGGCCAGTCGTTGAGCTGGGGGTGCTGTGCTGTGCTAGGAGGAATGTGGCAAGGCGGTACTCCCAATCCCCTTGCGTCATGCGGCGAAGGGTGTCCTTGGTGGTCCGCACCATGCGTTCTGCTTGGCCATTGGTGGCAGGGTGGAATGGCGCCGAACGGATGTGGCGGATGGCGTTCTGCGCTGTGAAGGTTTGGAATTCTCCTGACGTAAATGCAGTCCCGTTGTCTGAGACGAGAGTGTCAGGGAGCCCGTGGGTTGCAAACAGCCTGCGTAGTACCCGGATGGCTGCGGATGTAGAAGTGGACGGTACCAGTGCGACTTCCAGCCATTTGGTGTAGGAGTCCACCACTATGAAGAATGTTTGTCCCTGAAAGGGGCCAGCGAAGTCCACATGCAGGCGTGACCATGGTGCTCGGGCGGACTCCCAGGACTGGACTGGGGCCCTTGGGGGATCTGGGCGGGATTCTTGGCAGGCCTGGCAGTGTTTGACCCAGGCCTCTATCTCTCCGTCGATCCCTGGCCACCACACATAACTCCTGGCAAGGGCCTTCATTCTTACTACCCCTGGGTGTGTCTCGTGTAGGGCTGTGAGGACCCTTTTGCGGAGGGGCTGGGGAACAACGACCCTGCTTCCCCATAACAGGCACCCCTTGTGGGCCGACAGTTCATGTTTGCGGGTTGTGTAGCCAGCGAATTCTGGCCCAGGGCTGCTGCTGGGCCATCCCCTCCATACCCAGTCCAGGACCCGGGAGATGACCCTATCTTTCTTGGAATGGTGTGCAACTTCTTGTGCCTGAATGGGGCGGTCGGGAAGCAGCTCCAGGCTCATAACCTCTTGTGCAGGTGCTGGGTCGGGGCCTGTTTCCGGTAGTGGTAGCCTGCTGAGGGCGTCTGCATGGCCCATTGCCTTCCCGGGCGGTGAATCAGTGCATACTGGTAGCTGGCAAGGAAAATTGACCACCTGAGGACGCGAGGAGACAGCACTTGGGGGGTCTGCTTTTCGGGGGCAAACAAGCCAAGCAACGGCTTGTGGTCAGTCACCACAGTGAAGGGCCGCCCGTACAAGAAATCATGGAATTTTTTTACTCCCTTCACGATTGCCAGACCCTCCTTGTCTATTTGCGAGTAGTTCCGCTCGGTTGCGTTGAGTGTCTGGGAAAAGTATGCCACCGGTACCTCTCTTCCATCCGGGAGTTGGTGTCCCAGGACAGCGCCAATGCCATAGGGCGAGGCGTCGCATGCTAGCACCACCGGCAGCCTCTCGTCGAAGTGTGCCAAGACCGAGTTTGAGACAAGCAAGTCCTTGACTGCCTGGAATGCAGCCTCCTGGCGCTGGCCCCACACCCAAGGGGCCCGCTTGTCCAGGAGTCTGTGTAGGGGCTCTGCTACCGCCGCCTTGTGAGGAAGGAAGGAATGGTAAAAGTTCAATAGTCCCAAGAAGGCCTGAAGTTCAGTCTTGCTCTTGGGCGCTGGGGCATCACAAATGGCCCGTACCTTGTCCCCAGTCGGGTGGACCCCTTCTGCGTCCACCATAAATCCCAGAAAGTCCACCTGAGGCACTCCTAGTAGACATTTTTCCCGCTTCACCTTGAGACCCGCCGTCTGGAAACGGTGCAGAACAGTGCGGAGGCGGTCCTCAAACTCCTCTGGTGTGGGCCCGGCAATCAACACATCATCGAAGAAGGGGGGTGACGCCAGGAATCCCTTTAAGGAGGGAGTCCATTAGATTCTGGAATATGCCTGGTGCCACGCTGACACCGAATTGCAGCCGCTTTACCCTGAACGCTCCTCTGTGCGTCACAATCGTCTGTGCCTCTGCTGTGGCCTCATCTACTGGCAGCTGTTGATATGCTTGGGCCAAGTCCAGCTTGCCAAAATTTTCGACCCAGCCAGGGTGGCAAGGACATGGCTGACCACTGGCACTGGGTATGCGTGGGCCGTGAGGGCCTTGTTTATGGTACATTTGTAGTCTGCGCAGATGCGGACCGAACCATTAGGCTTGACGGGTGTGACGATTGGGGTTTCCCAGGGGCATTAGGCACCGGCTCCAGCACTCCTTGCTCCACGAGTCGGTCCAATTCCTCGTCTATACGGGGTTTCAAGGCGAACGGGACCCGGCGGGCCTTGAGCCTGACCGGTCGTACTGCGGGGTCAAGCTGTAGCGCAATGGGGGCCCGTATACTGTCCCAATTTCCCATCGAAAACCCCTGGAAATTCCTTGCATATGGCGTCCACGTCCACTTGTAAGCTAGTGTGGTTCACCCCGGTGACAGCTAGCCCCAGTGGTCCAAACCATGCCAATCCCAGTAAGCTAATGTAGGGGCCCTTGACCACAAGCAAGTCCAGTTGCCGCGTCCGCCCTCGGTATTGCACCCTGAAGGTCCCCACCCCCATTGTGGGGACCTTACGTTTCTGGAAGTCCCGTAGGGTGAATGGGGCCGGCCTGAGTTTGGGACCCCCAGTAGGACACAGTTTCCTTAAGGTCCTTGCCGAGATTATGGATAGAGTTGAACCCGTGTCAAGCTCCATGCGGCATGGGGCCCCTCTATCTGTACCTCTACATAAATTTTCTCTACGTTGGGGTGGGGCAACTGGTATACCTGGCAGTCCGTGAGCTCCGTCGAGTTGCCTTGGTGCGTTGGGCCCCGGGACCTGGGGCTCTTGGATTGGTCATCTGATGCCTGGTGTCGGGTGGGCCGAGCCCGACACACCCGGGCGATGTGTCCCGATTTTCTGCACTGCCTGCACTCTGCGTTGCGGAAACGGCAGGTCCTCCTCTCGTGACTCTCCCCGCAGCTTGCGCAGTTCCCTCCTTCTCGTCGAGGCAGCTGTGGTCTGTGCGCTGCTTGAGTGCGCTGCTGTACTCGGTGCACCTCCTCCCTGTCGGATCCTGAGTCGTCTGTGAGGTCTTCGTGGTGGACCCTCGGTTGGGATGGCAGGCTCGGCCGTGCCTCTTGCGTCGACCTCTCGGCAGCTTCCGTTGCCAGGGCCTCCTCCAGAGCGACCTGGAACGTTAGGTCCTTCTTAGCGTAGAGGCGTCGTTGCAGCTTCTCATCCTTCAGGCCACCGACGAGGCGGTCCCGAAGCATGTTCTCTAGCTCTGAGAAGTTGCAGAACCGGGCGGCTTGGCGGAGAGAGGTCACAAACCCAGTTATGGTTTCCCCAGGGGCTTGCCGCTTTGCGTAGAAGGCATTTCGACGAGCCACCACTGAGGGCTGCGGCGAAAAGTGCCCCTTCAGCTGTTCCATTATTGTTTTGTATGGAACAGTAGCGACGTCTTCAGGCGCAAGGAGAGCCCGGGCGATTTCAAACGTCTCCTCTCCGCAGACGCTGAAGAATATCGCCCTCTTCTTGGCGTCTTCTTCGTCGGTGACCCCTTTGGCTTCTAGGAGGAAGGTGAAACGGGAGGCGTACGCTTCCCAGTCTCCAGATGCTGGGTTGAATGGCGAGAAGCTGCTGTTGGCTGCCATTCTGAGTTCCTTGTGTCCCGGAGCTGAAGCCTGGATACACGGTGCGAGGCAGCGGTGCGGCAGGTGGCGGTGCTGCGGTGCTGTGTGTGGCAGTCAGCTCAGCGGGATCCCACCCTCGTCGCCAGTGAAATATACTCAGAGTCGCAAAGTGATTTCATGCTCTTTATTCAGCTCATAGTGGTGAGGAGGAATGAATGAATGTCCCCTCAAAGTATCTGCTTTATATACATTATTTACACAATGGGCTGCACATGATTGGTTAATTCTGGAATTCTACTGTAAGCCAATCAGGTTGTGGATTCACTTATATCTGGAGCATGATTGGGTGGTTCCTGCCAACCAATCATACTGCTGCATTGTTCTTGGACCAATCAGACTGCTGCATTCTGAATCCTATTGTTCTAGGACCAATCAGACTGCTGCAATTTGGATCCTATTGTTCTAGGACTGCTGCAGTTTGGATCCTATTCAACTCAGTACATAACAGAGAAGCAAATGTTCTTCTGTCTCCTTTCTTCACTCCATAAGATGTTCCTGCCGCAGCTCATGATACTGTTGCCCAGGGCTGGCTGAAGACGTTTTGGCACCTGGGGCAAACCACAAAATGGTGCCCCCTTCCCTGGCCAGGAAAGAAGGGGTGAGTGAAGAGTTACATCTGAAATAAGGTACTGACTTCTTCTACCCCTTCATAGGTGCCAGCTCCCTGAGGGCCTGTGTGCCTGAGCACCCACAAAGTTCCCCATGAAGAGGCTGGGCACCCACGGCCCCAGGCACCCACAGTTGTGGGGCCAAGTTGGCACTCCTCTACCTCTTTTCCCTTAGAGCTTTCTCTCTACTCTGATCATCTAAGGATTGGAGAAGTTCAGCCAATCAGTTACTGCCAGAGGCTTCATTACCAATGCCACGCCTCCATCAGCTAGCAGATTAAACTCCTGATTTGGGGGGGGGTCTCTTTGCTTTTTTAATGGGGCATTTATACTTTCAATTTCTTCAAATGTACTGCCAAAAAAGGGTTCCCCTGTACTTTCTTATGATATAATGTGCCTTTTCTGTTTTAGGAAGTAAGCTGAAGTGGCATTGATGGCTCCACAGTCAAGGACTGCAGCAAGAGGCCAAGTCTTGAGTACCATTCTTAGCACACCTGACTTTTGAACTTAGCAAAGGTATGCAACGTCAATGTGATTTCTGAGAGAGAATGTTTCCAGCACACTGTAATCAAATGCGGCTTTGCTGATGGATTGCTCAGTTATATTTCCACCATTGCATATGAGTAAAAACAATAGTCCTGAAGCAAGACTTTGGTTTTAGATGATGCACCATGTGTCATAGAGGGCTTTACCTGCATTCCTTACACATGAGAAATGTCACAGTGGTTGTGAGAAAATGTATATCTAACTCGAAGATGGAACCCACATTGCTCTAGAAAGCACAATTCTGAACTATAGCTAGAAAAAAGTCATGTTTCTTTGAGACCGTACATACTGAATGGACACTCTACATTACCCGGAGCATGTACAAAATTCAGTTAAGCTATGCACATTCCACAACACTTTATGTATATTGACCAGGAAATGTGCACGATTCCCTCTTCATGGGCAGACTAAGTGCACATTCCCCATGAGGCTTGGTGAATTCATACAATGGCTCATTGCTATGACTATTAACTGTTCAATTTACACCCCCCTTTAACATATACATAGACACATCATATTCTCTCTCATGCATACACATATTTGACTTTAATGCTGCCTGATTATAAAGGTACCCCTTTCTCAGCGCATAGCACAGAAGCACAGCAAATTTCCCATGGAAGAAAAGAGTGATCTTCCTCCATGGCCGGCTCCCTTGTTTTCCATGTTGCAAACTGAAAAGGGGCTCCCTTTGTCTTCTCTCAAATTCACAAACGCCAACTTGAGAAAAAGATGGGGGGCATGCGCGTGCGCGATGACACACACATGGTGCAGGGACGCAGAGGTGCTGGAGGAGCCAAGGGGCAGTATGGCTTCAATGGTTGGCAGCTTGTCTTTTCTGGTGCTCAGTTTCCTCCTCCTGCCACCACCACCAGCCCATGGCAGGAGGAGGAAGAGGAGGGGCCACAGGCTCTCCCTGCTGTACTTGGCTCTGCGATAGGCCTCCTCTGCAACGGATTGTTCTCAACATTGGGGGCCTCATAGAGTTGGCACCTCTGCTCAGGCTGGAGGGGCAATCTGATTTGGAAGCTGTTTTTTTATAGTTGGAAAGTATCACCTGACCAGCTGAGGCCTGTTTATGCAGGGGATTTTCCTTGGCTGATATGGCTAGTCTTCTTGCAGTTTCTTCATTCCTTTAGTCAGGGTTTGGTGGTAACACATAGGTTGAATTCTCACCTGACATTTCTCAGGTCACCATTCTAGAAAAGGAGAGATCACATGGTGAAGATGATGATGAAACAGAGCAACATAACCAATCTTATTTTGCTCCATGCTGATATCCTTGGAATAAGTGAATACTTATCTGCCCTTTCACAATAAACGTCAAGAAATCACTGAAAGGAGAGGTGCCATTCAACCCTGTGATGGAATATAGAAATTGTCCCCTCTGCCTCAGCCCTTATAGATACTTATGTAAAAAGTTATGAGAAGTCTGTGTGCCTTCTAATCCTGTCATGACAAGATCATGCTTATTTATGAGCCCTGAATATAAGGAAGGATACCTGTATCAGCACATTTATATTTTTGATAGAGGGTTAGGTAGAAAATAAAGCCATGAATCATGTGACCGGTATGTCAGCCGTATCATTCTAAAGAGCTAGTTGATGACAAGGCAAAACTTGCTTATTTACTGAGGCATGAGGAGAGTAAGCTTCTTATTTATATTATTATTTTTTAAATTCTACTCTATCTTTACATCAAATTCATGCTCAAAATGTCTAGTGGTGTGATTCCTTCTTAAAACCTCCTGTGACACTGAACAGCCCAAATCTCTTATGCATGTTTTAGAAGGGTTTGAATCCCCGTGACGGGGTGAGCTCCCGTTGTTCTGTTCCAGTTACTGCCAACGTAGCAGTTCGAAAGCATATCAGTGCGAGTAGATAAATAGGTACTGCTGTAATGGGAAGGTAAACAGCATTTCCCTGGCTTCCATCACGGTGTTCCATTCCACCAGAAGTGGTTTAGTCCTGCTGGCCACATGACCTGGATCTGTCTGTGGACAAACACCGGCTTCCTTGGCCTGAAGTGAGATGAGCGCTGCGACCCCATAGTCAAGTTTGACGGACTTAACTATCCAGGAGTCCTTTACCTTTACCTTTTACCTAGTCAATGCATAGATTTATGTGCAGCCTGGGAAGAGGAATCACCAGAAAGACCTGCCATCTTCCTTTTCTTTTCCACTGCACCAAATACCACTTCCGTGTTACAGCCCTTCCCCTTCTTCAGGAAGGAAAGATCTTTGGTTTCTCTAGGATGCTACAACATAGAAAAAAGTTTGTGCAGCTCCTAGAGAGACAAGCTGGATGTTCTGGTTTTTGGGCCAGTCTAAAAGAGTTTTCCACACAAACTGCAAAACAAGGAGAAGGCTGGAATGGGGATCCAAACGAGAGAGAATGGCAAACTCAAGGGGAGATGGGCTGCAGGAGAGGGAATGGTTGAAAGAAAAAAGGTCGGAGGGAATGGGATGAGAGGGCCGGATCAAGAGGGAGGGCAGAGAGTGAGGGGGAAAAGATCAACTGGATCCAGCAGGTGGAAATGAAACTTCCTTCAAAACATTTCTTATGCTCCACTCATTTTTTAAATGTGAATTAAGCTAATTGAAGCAACCCCTACTGACACAACACTATTGTCCCATTAGAATCCTTCAGTCTGTGGATATGAAATATGATTAAAATTCTTCTTGCTCCATTTTAACCCATTTCTGTCAACCTGGGGGACAAACAAACAGTCACAATTGTGGTTTTGGTAGTTGGCTTGTTGACAAGCTTTGTAATGAGAATGCAAAGAAAAGAATTAACACCATCTCCACTACTGGTGCCTCAGGAACAAAAAAGTGCTGTGGACTTTATTGCCCTCTTACACTGGGTGGAAATGATACTGAAGAAAATGAATAAAGTACCGTATTTTTCGCTCTATAACACGCACCCGACCATAACACACACGTAGTTTTTAGAGGAGGAAAATCCGTAGGCATGCCACCCGTAGGCATTCCCTCCATAACACGCACAGACATTTCCCCTTACTTTCTGGGAGGAAAAAAGTGGGTGCTATGGTGCAAAAAATACGGTAATTGAAAATGTTGGTGCTTTCATGAAAACAAACCTGTGCTGTTTCTTGCCAGCTCTAGGTGCTCATTCACAAACACAGTTGATGGAATAAATGCATTCAGATCTCTTAAAAGACACGTGACTTCCAGATGAAGCACCTGGGACTTCAGAGAAAATAAAAGGTTCAAAGCTTGTCTGTGATCACAGGCTTTTGGGTTTGATCCAGCACAATGGAATCAACTGCAACGGCCCCATTGTCTTTGAGGATGCAAGTGTAATTCCAGCGCACAAGCTTTTACATGACCCTTAGGCAAGTTATTTATAGCCTCCATTGCAACTCTGTTCTACCTCTGACAGGCAGAAGGCTGCCCTGCCTTAACGGTTGGGCAAGGTGGCCCTTTCTGGGTCAGGAACTCAACTCTTCAAGGGTCTCCAACTGTGAGCCTTGAAGAGAATGGTAGAGAGCCAGTGGATGAGGCTGTGCATTTAGAGCCATGAAAGGTTTCCTTAACAGAGGCTGACATTCTGTTTTATACTGTAAGCAAAATGACATACCTTCATGTATCCTTCTGCCTCTTTGGGGTACAGAGCCTTGTGAATAAAGCATGTGGAATAAAGCAGTGGTTTCCAAACTATGTTTTTGAGGGGCATTGGAGCCAACTCCTTGGGGCCAAGTGCCTTTGCCCCCCCTTAAAATATTTGAGTGGGCCAGGACCTGTGCACTGCATCTTGTGATCAAGTGTGTAAGCTTTTAGAGGTCTGTTAAATCAAAAGACCTCTAACGACAATCTTCCCTTAATAACTGCTTGCCCACCCCTACTAATCTGCCCTCACAAACTGCAGCTTTGGAGGAGATTGGGGTGTGTTCTAGGTTTCAGTCATCATGGATAACAGGCCTGGCCAATATCTCACAAGAATCGTGCTTAAGAATGTTAGCCCAAATCCTGGGCAGCACAGGACAGATGTGTTGGGGGTTCCTCAGTAGGCAAGTCAGTATGGAAAGGGTTCTCTGAAGAGGGGAAGTTTGAAAATACTTTCTCTACAGAGAACACTTAGGTTGGGGGCACTTTAAAAAGCGCTGGCATTTGCTGCAGAACTTTGACTCTACTTTCCCCTCCTCCAAAACAGGGGTACGTGGCCATTGCAAGTGCTGCTGGCCTCAACTGAATTTCTGGTTCAGGTAGAGCAAGTGGTCATTCACAATGCATGACCTTAGCAGCAGACGGCATCCTCTGGGAGAGCGGAAATAATGGGGAGTGCAGAAACATGGCCACTGTTTCATTTCAAAGTGTTGGAGTGGAGATAGGAGCAGCCTGCCACCACACATTAAAATGTTAAATAAACAGAAAAGCAGATGTTTCTGCAGCTCACTGCTAAGGAAATCGCCTCTGCATCACATGAACTGGTTTGGGGTTCCTAATACCCCAGGACAAGGCAACAAGCTGGCTGCTCCCTGAATTTGCCATCTTCAGGCAGCTGTGAAGTGTTTGCTGTAGTCCTAAATTACACTCGCACTGTTCAGCCCAGATTAGCTCCCAAAGCACCACACTGCAATTATAATTCAACACAAAGGGATAATATATTAGGAGTGTGTATGACAGTCTCTTCTGGCTTCTGCCAGTTGACCATATAATGCAGGATCTGGGCTTTTCCACTGTGGGCTAGACTGCAAGGCTCATTAGTGGTAAAGGCTGCTCTTCCACAAGGTCCTTGTGATCCACAAGGAATCATGCTACTACTATTTCATCATCAGATTATTGCTCTGTGACAGCTTCCTGCTCTCCTCCTTGGGAGGAATAATAGTCAAGCATATTCTGGAGCCATAAGAATGGCTTATTGCACTTGCAGTAGCACCCAGCTCAGATCACCCAGAGAGTCACATCCGTACTTTAGCTAACTTGAGAGGGCTGGTTGGATCCTTGGAGCTTATATGCTTGCTTTTTATTTGTACACTGGTTGAAGCAACCCCTTTGTGGAGAGAGAAAGCAGGGTATACATTTGTGAATGAAACAAATAAAATTTTTTAAGTGCTGGAAAGCCTTTTTAAAAATGCAGTGTTTCCTCTGTCTTTTCTTTTAAACCATTCTGCTACCCATCTTTATCTTTCTGCACCCTAAAGCATGCACTTGATTCCTTCTCTGCACTACTTCACAAAATGTTTGCCTGCCCCCCTTGTCTGCTTAGTCATCTCTCCTGCTCTTCCCATTCCATAATGCCTGGTCTCTTCTCTGTGCTTCACAGCCTTTGCCCTCTTTCCTTTGTGTCTCTCTGGACCAAGTCTCTACCCCACCAATTCTCCACAGGTCTGTCTGTGTCACCATTTCTCAACTACCCCGCTTATTTTTTCTGCGTCCCAGAGGTTATTCTGCTCCAGCATATGCCTCCTGATCTCTGCTCCCCTCCCCCCTTCCATTTCCCCACCCCACCAAACCCTCTTTCATATATATTCTTCCTGTGCTTACCACTATGCCGTTCCCTTCCGTTCTGCACCTTCATTAAAAATGCTGTGATGTGGAACAACCGCACCACACTAATATGCAGCCAAGAATAAGTCTGACTTAATTCCTAGTCTAAAAATGGCAATAGTTACCTTCCAAAATGTCAGATAATCTGGCATTTCTGATTAGAGTGCTTGTTGAAGCATCTGTCCCACGTGACCTCCTTTCAAGTAGCTCAAAGTCATTGTTTTTATATCTAAAATGAATAACCAGCCCTCCCTCATTTTTCAAGGAAATTATGCTGGCAGTATTTTTTCTCCTGTAGGTTACCTTCTATAATTGAACTGCTAGGGATGTCTGTCATATAAAGAGAAAGCTTGGTTTATCCCAGCCTTTGATGAGTTGGAGAGAATGTCTGGTCAACTAACATTTTGGGATTAAAGGGGACTAAAAGACCTAGAGACGCATCACATCCATAACAAAATGCTGTGCTATGCAAAGTCCAGACTGGCTTCACTGTTTGTGGAGCTATAGATGATGCCTATTGCTCTGGAGGTACTCTTTTCCGTGATTAAATTCACATTTCATTTTTTTGCCATGCCACGCCTCTCTGTCAATTCAACTTCCCAAGGCATAAAGAGTTACATCAAGGAAAGAAACTCACTGTGCAACCCTAGTCATGTCTACTTGGAAGTAAGTTGCATTATGTTCATTGGGCGTTTCTTCCTGGAACATGCGTCATGGATTGCAGCTGATGGTTCCTTTTATCTGCATATTTCACCTGCCAATTTATGGGATTGCAAATACCTCTGCATACTGAGGTGTGTAGAAAACTTATGTTACAGAAACTTCCTTTACAGAATAACAAAATAGTACACGTGGAAGAGCAGGGGAAAGCAAAGAAAGTATGAGCCACTGCTCTGGGTGTGCGTATATTGGATCAGTCAGTCATCTCTGATTCATTGGTTGCCCAGTTTGCAGCACATAGGGAAGCCAAATGGAAATGGGCTCATACTTTTAAATACTCTGAAGGAGTGCAACTAAAACATGCCTCCAATTTTAACTCAGAAAAAAAGTGTGCCCCACTTAGCAGATGTTTGGGAAACACTGTACCTTATGTTGAACAGCCCACATTGATATCAAAGGCAGCAACTATTTTGCTCTAATTGTTTCTTCAATTCAAATATGTTAATAAAAGACAACTGAAAATGTCCATTGTAAAACAATTTGCAATAAATTCTGCAATTTAATTTCCCTTCCCACCTGCCAAACCCTTTCTATTGCTTTTGAACAATTTGTTCCGTGCCTAAATCATGACCTTCAGGCTTTGTAGAAAGTAGGCAAGGCGTCTGCCTGAAGGACTTCAAAGCAGAATCAAGGTGCCTCCAAAGCAACAATAGGCATGAACCATGACTTGCAAGGCGGCTCCTTCACCTTCCATTTCCCAGTGTGGTTTTGTTGTTGTTCTTAGTTGCTACTTGAACCACAGACCTGGCAATTGAATGATGTTTCAGAAACTAAATGGGAATGCCCATGAAAGGTGACCTGCTTTGTGCTCATGACCAGAACAAGCAGAGCCCCAAAGTGCAAAACTTCATGCCCCAAGGTTGTTTCAGCAGTTTAATAACAACCTTTTCCTTGGGGGAGGGTCTTTGCTTGTGTCCAAGTTTGATTTGAGCCCAGGCTGCAAGGTTGGGAGTTCCTGGTGAAAATCTTTACCTTACACATTGGGTTTGAACAATGTTTTGATCACTGTTCAAATAGTCCACAATGACTTTGTATGCTGGTGGAAGCATTTGAGATACACACACACACACACACGCTAGATATGAATAGCTATGGCTTCAATACAATATTAAGTGTCTCCCTCCCCCCTTTAGGTGACATGGCTTCTTTGCTTAAAATAAAGAAAAACATTTGCTAATATTATAATTTGATTTCTATTCATTTTACTGTTGAACATGGAAAGACAAATCTGCTTTTGTTAGAACAGCAACACAATACAGCATTGTTTGTAGGGCTGGCACCTGTGGTAAACTACACAATAGCACCCCCCACCCCCAGGGAAGAAGGGCTGAGTGAAGATCTACATCAGGAACAAGTGGGGAGGAGATATTGAATAGGAACCTGTTCTTTTAAGAAATGGTGGGAACACTGGAGAAAGCAAAAACAGAAGGTGCCTCAAAGAATCATAGACCAAATCAAAGGTTCAAAACCCAATCTCTTATGCATGTTTAGTCTGAAGTAAGTTTCATTGGGTTCAATGGTGCTTTCATTCAAAGACAGGAACCTGCTGTAACACAGCTCAAAGGATGGGAGTCATTCTTGGGTGCCCTGCGGGCAGATGGTTTGTAATAGCAGCTCATGAATTTTCAGCAGAAATGGTAAGTATCTTTTCAATGCCCACAAGTGGTATTTTGGATCACCTCACTTCTTGCAAAGCACATGTGCTCAGAGCTTTGGGAAACATAGAGCTCTATTGGTACAGAAAAATACAAGCAGAGAACAAGCAAGACAAAGCTTTGAGGGAGCTCTGCTCTGACTTGGGGCAAATTGCATTTTGCACTTTGATTCAGGAGGGGATAGACATCTGAATCACCATGATTCACCTCATTATTTGCCCCCCCATCAATGCACACCCCTCTTATATATTCATATTTCAGACTAATTATTGTTCAGAGTTTGTTCTTTACTTGAAGTATGATCTGTGTTGGCTTATTCACACATGCAGCGCACCTCATGGATGTTTTTATCTTCTAGTTTTGGATTGGTTGCCACAAATAAAACTTGCAAGGAGTCATTCTATTACTCCCATTGTTGAGAAAACAACAAAAGAGTCTTGTTCAAGAACCACAGATTAACTGTGATAGATAGAATAAGCCTTTACACTACCATAATTTTAAAATGAAAATAGGACTCCTTAACCACGGGGGATTGCTTGAGTGCTTATTTGCTGACTCTCCCTTGAAAGTGTGATCTGACTCCATAGAAAAGCTGGGTGTGATGTGAGATGATGTTTGCTCTGCGGTGGCTCATTCACCTGTGCAAGTTACCACCTGATGCTTCAGTCATTGACTGATGAACACTGAATCATGAAGCTGGAACCAGGCAATAAGAGCAATCTTGACTACAGAGAGCCAGTGTAACTTACCCAGGTCATATTCAGCAGTTTTACTCAGAGTAGACCCAGTGCTCGCATAAGGGCCTTAGGTGATCTCTGAGTTTCTACCCCACTCTTCTCTTATGAATAGTTATTCTGTTTATTCTAGAGCAATTTGCCCACTACCCTTAGAACATGGGAATAGCATGAATTGCTCAAACTTGGAAATGGTGGAGAGACCATTGCTTTGGGGGGGCGGGGGCTGGATGCAAGTCCCCACCCTGAGCTGCCATGCCAGACTCCACCTCATCTTCCCTCCCCCATGGATTTGAGGTCTAAGGTGCCAGTACTGGGTCCTCCATGACTGTATTGGGTACTGAGCCTATATTGGGCACTGAGAGAGGGGTATTGACTTCATTTCCCCCAGATCTGTTTTGAGTCAGCCTGGTGGCAGCTCCTCATTTCAGTTAATGGAAAAGACTGGGATTGGCAGTGGCCCCCTCCCTCCCATTGCTTGCCAAATTAGAATTTTACTGCCCCTTTTTGGCACCCCTGAAAATTTGCCACTGTAGGCAGTTGCCTAGTTTGCCTAGTGATTAAGCCAGCTCTGAACAGACCCATTGAAATTACTGAAACTTAGTCACGTTCATTAATTTAAGTGTGTCTTTTGCCCACTCCCATGATTTTTTAGGGGGCCAGGCCCCCTCAATGTTCAGAGGGTGTTCAAATCTGCCCCCGGCTCCTTGTGACAGCGCACGTGTGACGTCAGGACGTCGTGTTGGGCCCCCTCAGTCATCTTGAGAAGTTGGTGCCTCTGACTCTGAGTAAAACTTAGTTGAATACCACCATACTGTTCCAAACTCTGTTCCAAAGGAGTTGGACTTACATCACTGGAAGAAGTTAGTCATAACTTAACTCCCATTAATTTCATGATGACCTAAGTTAAGCTCACTTAGTCTGGATCCAACCTTTAAAGTTTTAGAGTTGGGAGGGATATTTTGTTTTTTAATCCAGCTCCTTGCTCAGTGCAAGAATTTACAGCACCCATAGCATCCAAATATAAGCCAGCCTCTTGCAACATACCTAGGACAGAGGACCTCTGACTTAGGACTACTATGGGCATTACTTTCCCCCATTTGTGTCTTGTCTTGTCTTGACTGGGGACAAAGTGGCTGGGCAGATGCATGTCCAAACAGTGGGAACCCTATAAGATCCCTGTGCCTGAATAAGGTCTAATCATTCGGGCATGAATGAGATGTCTTTCTGGCCATTTTCCTGCTTAGAAGGGTGTATACATCCAAACTATTAATTATTTCCTAAATATCGCTAATCTGACTGGCAGTTTCCATCCTGTGCCCAATAGCAGCTTGTAAGTCTTGTTGTTGGCATTCATTTATCTTGTGAGACAATGGGGTAGAAGTCAAACCTCTGTGTTAGCAGCACCAAAGTGACCTCCCTGGGGCACAAGCCTGGGCAGTGTGTAGGCATGCCCAGGGCTGTGCAGATGACCAGACCCACCTCTCAGCCTCGCTGGTGTGGTCCAAAGGATGTGTGGACGTGTGAGAGAGATTTCCATTGCCATCATGGACTCATTGTCTCCTGCCATGGATGATGGCCACCATTTCAAAAAAAGATTCACAGTTTTTATTTTTAATTGATAATTTAATGCCACATGAAGTTTGGCCTTCAGTGGAGAGGCAGTTGAGAAACTTGGAGAAAATCTGTCCTTACATCCTATAAATAAATACCAGTGTAATAAAGAAGAGCAACCAGCTTTGGATTCAAGCTTTTCTGAAATGCTGTTTCAGATTTTCAAGCTCTTCCTCCTTCATCTCTCCTGGAAGCAGCGAGCAAGGAGAGGGAATGGTGGCCAGCCGTCGCCGCCACTCTGAACGCTAGAAATAATCCATCTTCTGGCCATTTCCTGCATTACTGAGTGACAGTTCTCATCCCAGACCTAATTGCACATGTCCACCACTCCCCTTATCCCATTAAATGGCAGCTGTCACAAGGGCTTGTCCGCCAGGTCACACCTCTTCATTCTGTATTAATTAATCTGAAACAACTATCCCCCCCCCCACGATTCTGCATTTATTTTGCATTAAAAGTGGCTATAGCACTGTGGCTAAGAGACTAAACTTTGGCTAGGAGTTTATATCTTAGCCTCAAAACTACACGTTACACAAATTTCTGGGAATCTTCCTCTCTGCCTCCCTGTGTGTGGCTGCATGTGTGTACATGTGCATATACATACATATGTGTTTAACTCAAAGCACTTTGAGCCATGAAAGTCCCATGGCTCTTAACCCTTTCCTCTCCTGTTCCTTTTCAGCTCAAAATTATCCTCTGCACCCTAAGGTGGTGTGTGTGTGTGTGTGTGTGTGTGTGTGTGTGTGTTGCAGTGTCCTGGGATTTCCTCCACCGCCTTTCCACCATATGTGATTTTGAGCTGCAAAATGATCAGAGGAGAAAGAGCAGCTTCTCCCTGACTGCCATTTTTCAGCTCTGCTACCATTTGCCCAGATTGTTTTGGGTTTAAAGAGGAGAGGAAACATCAGAACTCCATATAACATCTACTTTGAGCCCTGGCCTTCTATCTCCTGTATGGGAAGAATAATCCCAACCTATTTTACAAGGTTGCTATAAGGATTATTTAATTCATATCTCCATACTGAGATATGAACACTTTGAAGAGAAAGAGAGAGAATATTATATTTCATGTACAGTGGTAAAGGTAAAGGGACCCCTGACCATTAGGTCCAGTCGTGGTCGACTCTGGGGCTGCAGCGCTCATCTCACTCTATAGGCAGAGGGAGCCGGCGTACAGCTTCCGGGTCATGTGGCCAGCAGGACTAAGCCGCTTCTGGCGAACCAGAGCAGCGCACGGAAACGCTGTTTACCTTCCCGCTGGAGCGGTACCTATTTATCTACTTGCACTTTGACGTGCTTCCGAACTGCTAGGTTGGCAGGAGCAGGGACCGAGCAACGGGTGCTCACCCCGTCATGGGGATTCGAACCTCCGACCTTCTGATCGGCAAGTCCTAGGCTCTGTGGTTTAACCCACTGCGCCACCCACGTCCCTCATGTACAGTGGTACCTTGGGCTAAATACTTAATTCATTCTGGAGGTCCATTCTTAACCTGCAACTGTTCTTAACCTGAAGCACCA